CCTGAGCATTTTTTTTCTTTATTTATCTAACTGCTTGTCTCTTAACTGTGCCAGGGCCTATGTCTCACTGTTCATGCGCCATTTATGTGAACCTGGAGCTGATGGTGCAGAGACGTTTGCAGATGGGGTCCCACGGGAAGGTCTTTCTCGACAGCATGTCCTTACTCGAATTGGGGTCATGTCACTTATTCGCAAAAAGGTGAGTGCATGGCAGAGCAATGTAACCTTCCCTTTCTGTACAGCTTCTCTAAGCCGCTGAGGTGCTGAACTAGAGAATACTCTTTTCTTCACGTGTTTCTTTGTGTGTTGAGTGATTTGTAACTTCTGGTTTGAGGATGAGGGTTTATATGACTCCTCCAGTTGACACATCTTTCTCTCTCTCTCATGCAGGTGCAGGAATTTGAGCATGTGAATGGCCGCTGGAGTATGCCAGAACTGGCAGAGATAGAGGAGAACAAGAAGCTTTCTCAGCCAAGCTCACCCTCTCCCAAAACACCAACTCCTTCAACACCAGGGGATACTCAGCCAAATACACCTGCCCCTGTCCCTCCTCCTGGTGAGAGCTTCCCCCTTACACAGTCCTGTGTCCTGACCTCATTCTGGCTCTTCCCCTCACCGAAGCTGTGGTGGTGGGGTCTGGGGGTGGACACAGATCAACTTACCCTCTCAAGTTAGGAGGGTTGCTGAAGTTATTTGCAAACCCTTAAAGGCAAGAGAGGACATCAGTGAGAATAAACACTCTGTGTTTGTGGTTGGTAGGAGATCTGTGAGTTCATCTAGAGCAATATTGTTCCTGCTTGAAAGGCATAATCTCTAGGAGTGGAGGAGTTATGTGCTTGGTTACAGTGGGGGAAACACTTCACTGATGGCTTCTTTCCTTCTTTTATCTGATGTGCTGCTCTGGGTTGGGGAATACACAGAAGAGGGAATAAAGGCAGAAGAAGGAGCCAGTAACAAGGAACAAGGAGAGTCTGCTGAACCAGAGAAAGAACTCAGTGCCTCTGCTAATGACACAGAGGTCCCTATGGAGGTGAGTATTGGGATGCTAGTTTGCCTCATGCAGTTGCAAGTGTCTCTACTTAGAGATTACTCTCCTCATGTTCTCACAATCAGTGTAACGGCTTTGTGCATCTTTGTTTTCCAAACTGATTTGACTGTCTTGTTTGCATATGCTGCTTTGTTTCACTACTCATTGATCTGTCCTCAGCAGTGCGCCCAGCCTGCAGAGACAGCACCACAGGAAGCAAAATCCCCAGTGAACTCCACAGAAGCAGATGAGAAGAAAGAAGAACCAGAGGTGAAGGAAAGAACAGATGAGCCAATGGAAGTGGAAAGTAAAGGTATTTCTGGGGAGGCTGTTTAATGCCTTGAACACAAGCAACTGGACAAAAAACAAACACCAGTATCTTTCTAAAGCTGCATCATCTTTGCCTCAGTTCTTGAAGCAGACATAAATGTAGATAATTGGTGGGGATTGTTCCAAGACTTTGGGCAAGGAGTCAGGGAACACTTAGGTTTCACTGACTGAGGAACAAAACCTTGGACTCACCAGCTATATCTCTTACTTCCTTTCTCTCTTGTAGCTGATGTGGAGAAAATAGAAGACAGAACACCTACTGAGAATACCTCTGAACCCCCCATAATCACCTTGGATGAGAAAGGTGAGTTGTGATAATTCCATTCCTCATCCCCTTCCTGACTCCCTCTCCTGCAAGGACTTCTTGTGGGTCCAACTTTCTATATGCCATGTTCTTTCTAATGACTTCCTGTCTCATCCTGACAGATGAGAAAAAGGACGATGATAAGAGAGATGTGGTGATGCTGCAGAATGGAGAGATGCTGAAAGAGTCAGTAGATGAAAGGCACAAAAAGGCAGTAAAGCAACGGTTCATGTTCAACATAGCTGATGGTGGCTTCACAGGTATGTGAAATCTTTTATATTTAACTTATTTATATTACCCAGTTCTCGTTCATGAGGTAACTTTCCGTTATTTTTGTGTATCTTGCCTTTCCAGAATTACACTCCCTCTGGCAGAATGAAGAGCGGGCTGCAACTGTCACAAAGAAGACATATGAGATCTGGCATCGGCGTCATGACTACTGGCTGCTTGCTGGAATTATCAAGTATCCTACCCTGAGAAACCAGTTCTCTCCCCTTGTGCTCTAAATCTTGTGAAGGTGACTGTTTTGGGCCTGGCTAGAACACTTTCAGTGAGAGTTCTTTTATCATTTAGTAGAGTGAAAGAAATGGTGGGAGGAGGGTTTTAGTGTTTGTATAGTCAGTACATAGCAGGAAATACTTTTCATTCCTCTTTCTTGGCTCCTGTTCCTCCCCTCTTTGTAGCCCCTTTCCCGACCCTTTTCAAGAACTGTCTGCCTGAACTGTGTATTCCCATGTTCTCACTGCCTTTGTTTGCCTGAGCTCATCCCATCTCAGTCATGGCTATGCCCGTTGGCAAGATATTCAGAATGATCCGCGTTACGCCATCCTCAATGAACCCTTCAAGGGGGAGATGAACAGGGGTAACTTCCTGGAAATAAAGAACAAATTCTTGGCAAGGAGATTCAAGGTAAGGTGCCTTCAGTGTGACAAGTGCCTTTCAGCAAAACAAGCATTTAAGAAGATGGTTGCCTTGCTAAGGTTGCTGCTTTGACACTTCCACTGAAAGTGAAGACTTCTGCAGTGCTTTTTTTTCTTCCCCTCACAAACTGAATGTTTGTCAAAGTTAGGCAGTAGTTTCATGATAATATCCGTTCCTTTAGAAGTAGTGTTGGGGTGCTTGACTCTTTTCTCTCCAAATGTTTCTTCAGCAACTGGCATGCAGGAGGCTTCAAGCGTCTGTTTCCGTTACAGCTTTCACTTGGTGTACTGCAAACCATTCCTTGTGTCTAGGGGGAACTCATAAATGTTGTGTAGTGGTGAATTGGTGAAACAGTAGCTTTTAAACCATCTGATTCTACTTGGGAGAGACCATGATTTAGCTCTGGAAGATAAGATCAACCCAAGGCTATGTAATTCTGAGTCTTGGAACTAAACATTAAATTAATGTAGTTTGGCTGATCAGCTCTGCTATAATAGAATTCAAATTGATTTCTTCAGAGATCTGACATGTTTAACAGTTTTTCTTAAATTCTTCCAATAAGTAGCACTGGATACTTCTCAGGCTCAAAAAAGAAAAAGCTTCATGTCCTGTGCTTCATGCAAAAAGACCAAATAAACAAAGATTTACTTCAGAAGTCCTTTAAGAAGGCAGAGGAATAGGAATTGGTTCACAGCACTTATTTTAGGCTGTTCATAAGTTGGTTTTCTTGTATACTGAGCCTGGCTTAATGAAACATTTCTTTTTGTTTCTTGATATTTAGACCAAGCTAAACAGAAGCTGATGAAAGGAGTTTCAGGGTCTTATCTTGTGACAGCTGACAACTAGATCAGGAAGAGACTGTGGTGGGGAGTGGAGGGGGATGTGCAAGCAGGCTGCTTTTTCAGGCAACTGCTGGAAGACTTCTCTCATGACCGCTCCCTCTTGCAGCTCCTGGAGCAGGCACTGGTGATTGAGGAGCAGTTGCGGCGAGCTGCCTATTTGAATATGTCAGAAGACCCCTCTCATCCCTCAATGGCTCTGAACACACGTTTTGCAGAGGTGGAGTGCCTGGCTGAGAGTCACCAGCATCTATCCAAGGAGTCAATGGCTGGGAATAAGCCTGCCAATGCTGTGCTGCACAAAGGTGATGCTACGGGCTAAGCAAAAGTGGATGTGTTGAGCATCACTGTCCCTCCTGGTCTTTCCCATGTGGGTGCCCTTTTTTTTTTTTCTTCTCTCCCCTGAACACTCATCTCTTTCTTTTCTAGTTCTGAAGCAGCTAGAGGAACTTCTGAGTGACATGAAGGCGGATGTGACGCGCTTGCCTGCCACTATTGCCCGTATCCCACCGGTGGCAGTGCGCCTGCAGATGTCAGAACGCAACATCCTCAGCAGGCTCGCCAACCGCAGCAGTGAGCCCCCTCCACCGCCCCCTCCCCAACAAGTATGTGCCCTCCCTGCTTTGCAGGCGGGGGTGTCTCGGGGCTATGTGGGGAAATAGCCCCCGTACCATGGAGTCTAGCAGCTGTTCTCTTGCCCTACAGGTGGCGCAGCAGCAGTGAGTCTCCAGCCCAGTGCTGTCAATCTTTTGGCCAAGCCGAAGTGACCCTCCCCACCCCACCCCTTCGCACTCTGCCCCTCTGCCTGACATTCCTGACTGGGTGCTGTTTCCCTCCGTGGAAGCTGCTGTGCAAGTCTCTGGGAGGAGGAGAACTTCCTTCCACTGCGGCCAGCCCGCTGGAGCGAGGAGTGTGCTTAGGAGAGAGGGGGATGGATGGATGATGGACTCTGTACATAGTGACTGAAGGCCACGGTGCCATGTCTGTTACATGGAGAACCTGGCTGCGTTGCTCGCTGCCTCCGCCTGGAATTCCAGATTTTCAGTTTTCTAATTTTATTTTGGGTTTGTTTACCGAGGTGACTGCACAGGCGAGATCAAGCAGAAGCCAGGACAGAGACAAAGCTACCTCCATCAAGATCCTTTTTAATACAGAAACTGACAGGACTTGTCCGCTAATTAAGCAGCTTGGAGAGAAAAAAAAAAAAAGGAGAAAAAAAACAACAAAAAACAAAAGGACAAAAGCAGAGCAAAATCTTGGTAGAACTGAAAAATAAAGTTTCCTTGTATTTTACCCTCTTGTTTCCCTTGAACCTTGCTCTAGTGCTGCCAGGAGGAGCTGGATTTTCCCCTAGCGTTAACGAGCTCTGGGTGCTTATTACGCTTCTTCTGCAGAAGTAATTGTTTTCTGCCGCCCGCCTTCTGCTTTTGCTGCGTTTCCGCCTCCCGGTTCGGGTCGCGGAGGCCGCCCATGCCGGCGGCCCGCAGCCGCCCCAGTCTCTCGGCGCTGCCGCACGCCGGGCCGCGGCTGTCACGCCGTCTCGTGACGTTCCTGCCCGCAGCCAATCGTGGGCCGGGGGCGGGCCGGCGGCCGTGCGCGTGCGCGGAGGGCAAGGCCCGCACGTGGGGCCGCGGCGGTCCCGGGGGGTACCGGAGCCATGGGGCGGAAGCTGGACCCGAGCAAGAAGGAGAAGCGCGGCCCCGGGCGCAAGGCCCGCAAGCAGCGGGGAGCCGAGGTGGAGCTGGCCCGCTTCCTGCCGCCCGGTAAGTGCGGCCCGAGCCGTCGCGGGGCCTTGGCGGCGCTTCGGGGCGCGCCGCCTGAGTGCCGCTTCTGTTTCCGCAGAGGCGGAGAGCGGCCGGAAGAAGCTGTCCAGCCACGCGCGGAGGAGGTGAGGGCTGCCGGCCCGGTGCGGGGTTCCCGACCGGGGCGGGTCTGAGGTCTCACGGTCGCTTCCGTCCGCTGCAGGGCCGCCAAGAGACGGCTAGGGGCGGCGGGGCGGACGGCGCCGGGAGGAGGTCGGCGGCCCGCGGGTGAGTGTCGGGGCACCTCGCCTTGCGGTGCGTCCCGCAGCGGCGTGTTCTCGGCTGCTCCCGTCGGCTGTTCCCTCGGCCTGGGCTCGGAGCCGGGCGGGGGTCTGCGGTGCGCGCAGAGCTGACGGCGTGGGGCTGCTGCTCATGGGAACGCTGCCTACCTTCTAACCTTTTGTTCCCCTGCAGCTAAAGAGCAGGGGGATTCTCAGGAGGGCAGTCCCATAAAGGCAGTGGGACAGGACCCTCAGCGCCAGTCTGGCTTCAAAGACGATAACGCAAAATGGCTGACCCCAGCCAAAGGCAAGAAGAGCCTCTCCAAGAGAACCAGCGTGGAGTTGTCCAGCAATGGCGAGGTGGAAGAGGACAGCTGGGAGATGGAGGAGGAGGAGCAGGAGGATGGGAGCAGCGAGGAGTTGATGGATGATTATGGTGCCTCATCCTCTGATGAGGAAGAAGTAAGAGCTTTTTGGCTTGAATTTTGCAAGGAATCCTCGGCTTTTCTGGCTGCAGGGGCCCAGCAGGTTTGGGGGAAAAAGGCAAACTGACCATAGCAGCTGGGGGTGAAGGTGCTGGAGAGCCTTTCTCACCTCATCAGAGCAAATTCAGGTTTGGTAGCTGGACCCGGTACAACACTGGGTGTCTCTCCTCATTATCCATCTTAAGCGGAGCAGAAAAATTTTATAGAACAGAGGGTAAGGGGGCACCCAATGACATTGCTTCATTCACCTTTTCTTTCTCTGTTTAGTTGTTGCCCATTGAGAAAGCCGCCCTGAAGCAAAAGGCTGACGAGTAAGTATCTGCCTACATTATAAGTTAGTAGAGCCTTTCCTGGGTGGATGAGAAGCCCCACTTGCTTTTGTTCTTTCTCATGCTCTTCTACCAACAAGACAATAATTGTGAAGCATCAGTGCAACGTTGTTGTGTGTGAAACATTCCTTTTTTTCTTTATGTTTAGCAGAGATCTCAGCGAAGATGATAGTGAGGAGGATGAGGTGGCCGAGGAGACCAGCAGGCAGAAAACGGGACAGAAGGAAAAAGAAGATGCAGAACTGCAGCTCAACCTGGAGATAGATGAAGAATTCAAATTGCCAACTGATGAACAGATCGAGAAAGAGAATATCCTTTTCATCTGTAACATCTATAAACTATACGTAGGCAGCAGTATTGAGCCTGGATACAATTGAAGAGATTTATTTTATCATGAGTATCGTTTTAGCACAAGTGCTCTGTGCCTAATGAGGTGTTTTTGGGTGAGTTATCGTAACAGTGTGCAGCACAGTTAAGAAGCATGTTACAACCCATACAGAGCCCAGAGCCTCTCCCAGTCTTTCTGGTCTTAAGGCTTATGGATATCTGCTGCATAGTTTATCCTCTTCTGCCCTATTTTTCTAGCAGGCCTTTATCCAGCCAGTTTGTAGGGTCTTTGCCTAACAGCAATTCCAGCATACACAGTTATTTTCAATTACTGTTCTCCATGCATTTTAATCTTGTCTCTTTCTCCTCTGTTCCCTAGTTGCCTTTGGGGAACTTCTGGTCTCCTTTTTGATATAAATGTTTTCAGCATTGAAAGACCTTTTTCACTGTCATCTTTTTCCAATTTTTTTCCATACTTATCTAAAGTAACTAAGCTTTTTTTTTTTTTTCCTTTTGCTTTGTGAGCTTTTCCACCCACTTCTATCCTTTGAATCCTGCTTCTGCTGAGCTCTGTTGGAAGTGTAAATACTGAGCTTTGTATGTGCGTGTGCTCTAGCGTGGCCTTTCTTGTGATGTGGTGATTCAGGACTCGTGCACGACTGGCTGTGCGTGTGAAGGACTTAGTGTGCAAGTTCATGCATTGTTTATCATCCCTTAACGACCTTTCTACCTGCTGAGCCACCAGACCTGCATGTCATTCACCAGCGCATCAAGAGCAACATGGAGGTGCTGCAGGACTTTGGGGTGAAGCGGGAGGAAGGACGCACACGACAAGAGTACCTCGCGCTGTTGCGCCGGGATATGGCTGCTTACTATTCCTACAGTGACTTCTTGCTCAAGATGCTCATGGATATCTTCCCGCTCCCTGAGGTAGGGTCCTGCCCGCTCTGTGTCTTGGCTGACTGATGAGGATTTGGTAACCTCCCTACTTCATTTTTACCTCCTTCCTTTTGCCTTTTATCTAGCTAATCAACTTTCTGGAAGCCAATGAGGTTCCCCGTCCCGTGACCATTCGCACCAACACACTCAAGACGCGGCGACGGGACCTAGCGCAAGTGAGCAGAAACCTGTGGCAGTCTCGTGTGCTGCCCATCACACTTGAATTGTGACTCAGCCCCATCTCCTTGTCTCGTAGGCACTCATCAACCGTGGTGTGAATCTGGACCCCTTGGGGAAGTGGTCAAAAACTGGACTTGTTATTTATGACTCCTCCGTGCCCATTGGTGAGATCACCCTTCCTGATACAAGGCTTAGCTGATCTTCGCTCCCTTTATTTCATTTGTTTGTTGTTGGTTTTTTTTCTTTGTTTTGCCATCCCTGCTCAGGTGCCACCCCTGAATACCTGGCTGGACACTACATGCTGCAAGGAGCTTCCAGTCTCCTCCCTGTTATGGCTCTGGCTCCACAGGAGAATGAGCGCATCCTGGATATGTGCTGTGCCCCGGGTGGCAAAACCAGCTACATAGGTACCACCCTGTAGCCATGGTGGGAGACTCAGGAGGGATGCTCTTAGAACTGATTTGTGTAGAAGGAGGAAATGGAATGGGACTGAATTCGGGGAAAGGCGCCTGTCTGGGTAAAAGCATTGGAGATTTTTAGTCCCTTGCTGATGTGTTTTGCCTTCTGGCAGCTCAACTTATGAAGAATACAGGGATGATCTTGGCCAATGACAGCAATGCTGAGCGGCTGCGTAGTGTGGTGGGGAATTTGCATCGGCTGGGTGTCACCAATGCAGTAGTGAGTAACTGCGATGGACGCCAGTTTCCCAAGGTGTGTTCCTGTCTGCTCTGGGATGTTCTTACCATCCTTACCTAGTGCTGTCCCTTTAGTAAGATATGCTCTGTGAAGTCATCTGTCATAGGAAGATAAGCAAAGCTACTGGGAATTATGCTTGTTACTTGGTGTGAAAACAGGAAGGTAGATGGGAAAGAATGAGCTATCTCCTGCCTCCACAGTCATGTTTCCATTTTTAATCTCAGTCTTGTTCTCAGTTCCCGACCATGAGCATAACTTTAAATTCATGTCTGACTGTAGGTACTTGGAGGGTTTGACCGTGTCTTGCTTGACGCTCCCTGTAGCGGAACAGGTGTCATTTCTAAGGATCCTGCTATCAAAACCAATAAGGTGAGTCATGAGTATAGATGCCAGATGGGGGATCAGGTGTGAGTTATGAGAGGATGGATGATTCTGTGACTTCAGGGCAACTGCATTTTTGATAAAACTCCATAGAGGGGAAATGGTTTTTTGTGCTCTTGCCTATTTTCTGTGTTATGTTAGAACTGGGGTTTTTATGTTAGTTCTGCAGAAAAATCCAGTCTTATATCTTGTCCCTTGTTCAGTTATCTCTCCATTTGTAACAGTTTCAGAGGCCTGGGGTGTTCCCTGTATCTCTGACACCTTAACCTGTCTTTTACTAACAGGATGAGAAAGACATCCTGCGCTGCGCTCACTTGCAGAAGGAGCTGCTTCTCAGTGCTATAGATTCAGTCAATGCCACCTCAGAGACAGGGGGCTATGTTGTCTACTGCACGTGCTCCATTACAGTAAGTCTGTGCTCTGTCACGGTTACCTCTTTAGGAATGGTGAGTTTGGATCCTAACGTTTAATCTCTGGTAGGTGGAAGAGAATGAGTGGGTTGTGGATTACGCCCTGAAGAAACGCAATGTTCGTTTGGTGGCCACAGGACTGGACTTTGGCAAGGAAGGCTTCACCAGGTGTGTGCTAAGCCACAGGTTGTATAGGTGGCTCTGTTCCTTGCTGCCAGAGTTTCAGCAGAAGCATTTTTCATCCCACTTCCTCTTCCAGGTTCAAGGACCGTCGTTTCCATCCGTCTCTTAAATCTACACGGCGTTTCTATCCCCACACCCATAATATGGATGGGTTCTTCATCGCCAAGTTAAAGAAATTCTCTAATGCCATCCCCAAGACGCAGAAAGGTAACCTAGTACGGAAGCTCTGCTGAGCTGCCTGAGCCTGCTCTCACAGGCTGCTTCCCATGCAGAAACCACATGGGTTCTTCCTACAGCACTTTTCTCTTTTGTTTCAGATGAAGAACCTGCTGTGGAAGCAGCAAAACCGTCCACTGGCCCTGAGACAGTCATGGAACCACAGGCAAAAAAGAAGAAACTTGAGTCGTCAAAAATTGCCCAAGAACAGAAGAAGCCACAGCCTGCTTTGAAGAAGAGACATTCATTGCAGGAACAGAGGAGGCCCTTGAAGGCTGTCCGGCCTTCTCCCCATAAGTCATATGCTCAAGTCCCTAACAGAAAGAAGCATAAGGTGAAGCAGAACGGACAGTGAGAGGAACTGCTTTTCCAGGTGCTGTTTCCCTCCTTAGGGAGCAAAGGCTAGGGCTGCCCTGGTTGTGTTGTGTATTGTGCTGTTTTTCCTGCTCTTTGCATATAATTGTTGCAGTACTGAGCACCCAGGACAGCAATAGCCCCTTTTACTCCTTTCCTTGCTCTGCATCAAGGACTGACACACAACTCATTAAAAGTTTTATATTTTTGCTCAAACCTTGTCTTTTTCCCTTGAGTATTGAATACAGAATTTTGCCAATGTCCCCCTGCTGCTTTGCAAGTGAACCCCCTTCCACTCTCTTCTGATGTCCTGACATTTTCATTGTTTGTTCTTACTGCTGTCACTTTTTGTGAGTGTGTGATTGGGACCACAGCATGGCTCAGGTTGGCATGGACCTCTGGGTTCATCTGGTCCTGCTCCTGTGTTCAAGCAGGGACGTGACCAGGTGGGTTTTGAAGATCCCTAAAGAGAAGATGGCATAAACTCTCTGGGCAACCTTTTCTGATGCTCTGTTAATTGGCCTGCATTCATCTCCTGTTTCTTGGCCTTCCAGGCTGCAGCTGCAATTCCTGCTGGTCCAGGTGCTGTGCAGTCATACTCTTTTTGCTCACTCAGATGTGGTTACTTTTTCTTGTGACAAAGCAAGCAGTAATTTCTGTGGCAGCCCGGAACATGACCTGGTGTTCTTTGGTTCTGCTCCCCCATGAATAAATATTTTTTCTAGAGACTATAAGTAAGCTTTCTAACAAGATTGCTCTCGAGTGTCCACTCGACCAGTATTTTGGTGTTGGGTATGTGCAGACTTGAGGTCTCACTCTCATGTCTACACTTGTCTTGCTAGCTCACATCACAGGGGCTTTGCCTTGGTTTTTCTCCCCATGCTTTGAGTTTGTGGGAGAACTTGATGTACTATTAGCTTGATATACTACAAGTTTTAAGAAGGGATAGGGCAGGAGGGACTGGGGAGTTGCCATCTATGTTAGCAAGTGTGATTGTGAAGAGCTACCTACGAGAGGCACAATCAGATTGAGAGCTTGTGTGTTGAAATTAGGGACCAGACCAGTGAGGGACATCTGGAGTCAGGGTCTACTACAGGCTGCCTGATAAGGGGAACAGGCTGATGAGGCATTCTTGCTTTAGTTACAAAAACCATTGCATCTGCAGGCTTTCATTCTGATGGGGGGATTCCCAGCAGACATTTGGGTGCTTGAAAAGAACATGGCAAGTTGTAGGCCTGTCCAAGATAACGTCAGGTATTGGACAAACCAGCCAGAGACAGTATTACTGGACCTGGTACTCATCAGTGCAGAGGAAATCATTTAAAGAAGTTAAGATTAGAGGTATTCTTGGCTGTAGTGCTCATACCCTGGTTGAGTTTGTGATCTTGTGGAATACTGGCCTGGCATAGAGCAGTCAGGACTGGGTGGCCTTTACAATGGAGTGGTGGCATTGGAGGACAAAGGAAATCAAGTGATTACATCTACCTGGACTTCTGTAACACTGCTGATATGGTCCCACACCACATCCTTATCTCGAAGTTGGAGATATGGATTTGAAGGATGGAGTATTCAGTGAATAAGGAATTGGTTGGAACATCACAGCCAGAAGGTTGTGGTCAATGGCTCTACGTTCAGGTGGAGGTCAGTGACGAGTGGTGTTCCTCAGGGGTCTGTCTTGGGACTGGTGGTCTTCAACATCTTTGTCAATGACGTAAATAGTGGGATTGAGTGCACTCTCAGCAAGTTTGCTGAAGACACCAAGATGAGTGGTGTGGTTGACACAATCAAAGTGCTCGAAAAGTGAGCACTTAAGAACCTAATGAGGTTTAACAAAGCCAAGAGCAAGGTGTTGCACTCGGGTTAAGGCAATCCCAGATATGTATATAAACTGGGAGAAGAACTCATTGAGAACAGCCCCATGGAGAAGGACTGGGGGTGTCCTAGCAAAGGAAAAGCTTGAGGCGAGCCAGCAGTATGCACGTGCAGCCTAGAAGGCTGATTGCATCCTGGGCTACATCAAAAGAGGGGTGGCTAGAAGGGAGAGGGAGATATTTGTCCCCCTTTGCTCTGCCCTTGTGAGGCCCCATCTGTAATACTGCATCCAGGCCTGGAACCCCCAGCACAAGAAAAACATTGGGCTTTTGGTGTGGGTCCAGAGGAGGCCACAGAGATTATCAAAGGCCTGCAGCACCCCTCCTATGAAGAAAGACTGAGATGCACCCAGGAGACCTCATTGCAGCCTTCCAGTGCTTAAAAGGAGCTTATAAGCAGGATGGAGACTGACTTACACTCTTTAATAGTGCTAGGACAAGGTAAAACAGTTTTTACTAAAAGAAGGAAGATTTATGTTAGTTGTTAGGGTGAAATTCTTTACTCAGAGGGTGGTGAGGTACTGGCACAGACAGCCCTGAGAAATTGTGGATGCCCCATCCTTGGAGGTATTCAAGGCCAGGGTAGATGGAGCCCTAGGCAGCCTGATTTTGGTGGGTGGCAACCCTGCCCATGGTAGGGGGTTCAAATTGTGGGTGATTTTCAAGGCCCATTTCAACCCAAGCCATTCTATGATTCTATAATTCCATTATCCTATTACAGTGTTTTGTGCATGGTGCTAAGGACAGCTGAATGCAGCAAGTTAAAGGAGCTAGGGATTGTTACCACATTCAGCAAGCAGTGAGGCTGAGCATGAACTTCAGAAATACACACACAAACGATAGATATGACCAACCGTGGAGAAATCAGCAGAAATAGGAAACAAGTGCTGTGGCAGGTGCTCAGGAAAATACAAAGAGCACTCAAAATGGAAATGGCAAATATGTCCCAATCCTGTTTTAACAGGCTTATCAAACCTTGAGCATGCTAGTGGACCTTGTATATGCACACTTTCTCTGGATCTCTGGTTGCTGGTCATCAGACCTGTGGTCTGCCAATATCTGGCCTTCAAGCCCTTGATCCTACTTACTGGTTATTCCAGCTTGAAGTTAGACTTTTTTTTTTCAAACACACATGCTTGCCAAGGTAGCACAAATAGCCTACTATGGAGATAACCCGGCTGGTGGCAATAGGGTGCACTGCTCAGCTGGACAGGCATACTAAACAGAGCATTTCCTTGAGACTAGTCTCTGGTACTTATTCTGCTTCTCCATTTTCTCCTGTTTATTTCTCCCTGGTTTCTCGATACCCCTTTTTCCCCACATTTGATCCTTCCCATCAAAATTCCATAGCAAGTTTTGCTCCTTAACATCATGCAATAATTTTTACGAAGTGCAACAGTTCTCAAACATCCCATAATAAATTTTCTTCTAAAACCTCATGATCTTAGTTTTCTTATCAGTTATGAAGTTTCTGGCTGAAGCTTTTCAAGGATGCACTTGTGTGATTCCTGCAATGGTTCAGTCTGTCAGTGTCTTGGGAGTTCTGGTCTTTGTTGCAGCCTCTGTTATCTTCTGCTTTTAATTTATTACATCTCTGCTTTTTCTAGGGTTTGTTTTTTTTTTTCTTGGACATTTTGTGCTGACTAGTTGTTAGCCAGATACCCTTACAGCTGGAAATTACTTTTCCCTGTGTTTCACAGCAAATTATGAAGCCACTGAATGCACCTGTCTCACTTCAAGCTTACATGGTGAAGTCTCTGGATTGTCTGACATACAGGACCCTAGGCTTTCCCAAGGACTTTCAGAAAAATTAATCAATGCTAGGCACTGATATGAAAAGAATTATTAGATTGCAAAGCAGAGAAAATTACCTCCTTGTATAAAATAATAGTTCTTCAGTTCTGCATTTCAAATTTCCTCTGTCAAGGGAGGGAAAAAAAAAAGAAAAAAAAATTGTTGAACTAAAATATGTTCAGAGGAGAACAAATACATCCAAAGCTATGGAATGGCTTCTGCAAGAGGGGCAGTGGGAGAGTGGGTCTTTTTAAGCTTGGAGAAGAGACTATGGGGAAATAAATGTTACAATAGTGCATAAAATTGTGTATCTGAATGTCTGAAAGCTGCTGGTAACACAACTTGCCAAAGCAAGAGCTGGGGCAAAGCAAAGCAAGAATTATAGAATCACAGACTTGTAGAATCATAGAATGGCTGGGGTTGGAAGGGACCTCACGATCATCAAGTTTGAACCACCCTGCCACAGTACTGAGAAACTGAACTGAGGGTTGGAAACAGAGCTGAGGTATAAAACAACTATCATAAATTAAAAGCTGAGTGAGAGAAACTGGTGCAATGTGTCTTGGTATCTATTCCACTGTTACATGCAAATCTTACTGGGTGGCATTTAACAGCTTGAAGGGAAAAAAAAAAAAAACAAAGAGTAAGCAGTTCTGTAACACAGCTGACACATGCTGTGAAGTTATTTAGGCTATAAACAAGGCCAGACGTTGCAAAACAAACCTGGAAAATAGAAGAGGTGAGCTGGTGTGTGACCACCAGTGTGACAGGAGCAGCGTCATACTTGTTGTAAGATCTTAAATTAAGAGGAGATGCAGCACTGCTTACTGTGGCAAAATAACGAAAACAGACTTCTGGGGAGGAGGCTGGGGACAACACTGAAGAAGTAATGGAAACAGAAGAGAATCTAACAGCAATACAGCAATATAGGCTGTCGCTGCTGGCAGTGATGTGTGCTGCAGAGCTGGGGATGGGCAGGCTACATCCAGAGGAAGGGACTGAAATACTGCATTGCACATTTCAGAAATATGGGTACAAAATTTAGGTCCTGGAGTACCAGATCTCATTGCATATAAGCATGCACTTGTCAGGGCCGAATCCAGAGGTATTTCAGTGCCTCCACATTTGCACCCAGATCTGGGCAGCTAACTCTGGGCAGCTGGCTTTGCTGATATGAATGGTGCCCGTAGCAGCACCCAACTTTGGGTGTGAATAGGAGCAATTAATTCTGGGAGTGGGCTACAGTGACATGTCCTGGAAGCAGCAAGACTTGGAGAGTTTATGCTGAATTGTTCCAGCAGAGCATGGTGCAAAGGAGAGTGTTGTGCTAGGGAAGGAGGACTGAGTTGTATGGGGTATTACAGATGCTGATGTTTACCTGTGCCTTGAAATAGCAGCCTTTAGGGAAGCCGTGGAGCCAATCTGAATAACTGAGTGATGGGTTTCATCTATGAAGTGCCTGTGTAGGAGCATGTATTAGCCACTAAAAGGCTCTGTGAGCTGGAAGAATGGGAGCATCTCAAACGGATAGTGAAAGTTAAAGCAAGGCAG